ATGACCACATCGCAACAATCTTAATAAAGGCAGCGTGGATTTCGATTTCCCAAACTACAGGCTATTTGCCTAAACATCCTAAGCCTTGGTGGAACGATTAGTCGTGAAGCAAAGAAAACACAAAATAAATTCTGGGGAATTCTGCGTCGATATTCAACAGCTCGAAATGTCTTGTCTTTTAAGCAAAAACGTGCTTTCGAACGCTATGTCCGAAAGCAGGCAAAAAAGAAGTCTTGGATTGGCTATACCTCCTCCATCAATAGTTCCACACGTGTCAAGGTCGTCTGGGACAGGGTCAGGAAAATAGACGGGGACTACCGTCAGTATTCATTTCCCTTAATTTCGTCACCAGACGGTGATACCTCCTTTTCGCTGGAAGAGCAGGCTAACATTCTGGGCAGGCATTTTCAAAGTATATTAGGATGTGGAAATTACAGCTCTAACTTCTTAAGTCACAAGGCAAGGGCAGAGAAGGTTAGGCTTGTTACCGCTGGCAGCAACAATGAAGAGTACAACCAACTTTTTACACTTGCTGAGCTACGTTATGCTCTTGCATCATCAAAGCCTTCAGCCCCAGGTTCCGATAGAGTTCATTACAGCATACAAACCCATCTCGCTGAACCATCATTTGATTTTCTCCTTAATTTTTTAATCGCATATAGAGAGAAGGGCAGCTACCTAATGAGTGGAAAAAAATATTATAGTCCCCCTTTTTAAAACCAGGAAAAGACTGGTTTAATGCCTCTAGTTTCCGTCCCATTGCGTTGACTAGCTGTCTGGGAAAGACGTTTGAGATACTTGTAAACAACAGGCTTATTTTTATTTTCGGAAGCAACAGTCCTTTAAGTCGTTTTCAATGTGGTTTTCGTGCTTCAAGGTCTACAACGGATCACCTTGTCCGCCTTGAAACTCGTATCAGAGAATCTTTTGTTAACAGACAATTTTACCTTTCTGTGTTTTTTGATCTTGAGAAGGCTTACGATACCACCTGGCGGTATGGCACTTTAGAGGATCTTGTGCATGTTGGTTTACGGGGAAGAATGTTCAACTACATTGCCAACTTTTTAAAAGATAAAACCTTCCAAGTGCGTTTATTAACTACACTTTCTGCTTCTTTTGTTCAGGAGAATGGTGTCCCCCAGGGCTGTGTTCTTAGTGTGACATTGTTTCTCTTGAAAATCAATTCTTTGTCACAGGTGATAACACCAAATGTTACGCACTTGTCATATGTCGACGACGTGCAGATTTCGTTTGCGTCTTGCAATCTCTCCATTTGAGAGCGCCAGTTGCAGATGACTATCAATAGAATGACGAAGTGGGCCGTTCAAAACGGGTTCAGTTCGACAGAAACTACTGTTGTTGTCTGTTTCTCCCATAGAAGAGGCCTATTTCCGGACCCCTCGCTGCATTTGGCAGGGGCAGTGCTGCCAGTTAGAGCCGAACATACGTTTCTCGGCGTCACTTTTGATAAAAAGCTCACTTTTCGTTCCCACATTTAGTCGCTCCGATTGAGGTGCCAGAAAAAAGCTAAATATGATGAGAGTTCTTTGACACAAGTCCTGAGGTACAGATCTGGTCTCTCTTTTGCGCATTTACAGAGTACTTGTACGCTCAACTTTGAACTATGGTGTATCGTGTATGGGCCAGCCAAAGCAACAACTGTCAATATGTTGGACCCCATCCACCACCAGGGTATTCGGCTTGCAACGGGGGCATTTCGTACATCGGCGGTGCCTAGTGTGTATGCAGAAGCAAAGGAATGGTCTCTTCAGAGGCGCAGGCTGTTTCTTAGTGTTCAGTACTTTATACGAATTCGCTCTTCGCCAAACAATCGTGTCCACTCCATCATACAAAATGTACAATATAAACGCACCTTTCAGAATAGACCATCTATCACAAAACCTTTTGTTTACGCACTAAAACCCCCACTGAACAAAATAGCTTTGAAGCACCTGGTCCTTTTTTTGAACGCCAACAGCCACGGGCCCTTTGGAAGAACATAAAATGCCATCTCTCCTTGACCAAAAATAGCAAGAAAGTAGTGTCTGCAGATGTCATAAAACAAGAATTTCTTGAAATGCATGCCAGTTATAAAAAAAATACCGTAGTTTGTTTACAGATGGCACAAAGACTTCAGATTATGTCGGATGTGCCTTTGTTTCGGAGTCCATTTAGTGTGTTCGAAGAATAAATAGAGATGCCACAGTGTTCACAGCCGAGCTCTATGGTTTAATAATGGCAGTTGAGCACAATTTGAAGCATAAATTCCTTAAAACGGTAGTTTTCTCCGACTCGCTTAGTGCAATAAGAGCCCTTAAATCCGTAGGAAGGAAAAATACCCCCCTTGTGACAGATCTACACCGACGAGTGCTTAAAACACTGGAGTGGAAACTAGCCATTGAGTTCTGCTTGGTAGCCAGCCACATGGGCATAGCTGGTAATGAAGAGGCCGATGGGGCTGCCGCAACTTCGGCTGATCGCAGTGTTGATATTTTTGCGATACCCACTGCTGAAGATAGAGCAAAATTGCGAACGCAGATAGCAAAGAACTTGCGAGAGGAATGGGACACTGACACTCACAATGAACGTTACCTCATTTAAAGCACGCTAACTGAATGGAAAAGTTGCCGGCATCGTGAGCGTTTTTACGAGGTTGTTTTGTGTCGATTGCGGATTGGACTTACGCACTGAACCCCTTACTATTTTACATATTCTCTCAGTCTGCCCAAAATATGAGTGTGAACGTCACAAAAATTTTGCATTGTTTTACCATGAGCATGTTCCATTTCATCTGGTGCTTTTCTTGGGGAAGAACCTCTCATACCACATACTGATGTTCATGAGTTCTTGAAGGATATTGGCCTTATACACCGTCTCTAAATTTTTGCGCTGCTTTATGAGAGCTGACTCTGTTATCAACCTGGCCTTTCTATTTCTTTTATCATAGTTCTGGCGCACTAAGGCCTTTGTTGCTGATGCGCCAAAAAAAACAAATTTCATTCATTTATGCAGAAGAAGCAACTGCAAATTTTATCTGCGCTATAGAAGCTGATAGCAAGAATAATGCGCGCGCTTACTGCGATGGTCTCTCCCTTGTGGTTGGTGCCATGGGGGACACATGTCCCGGAGGCCGTACAAAATGCTGTTTGGCAAAATACAATATTATGGAAGGTAATGCTTTTCAAATAGAACTCTTGAGTTAAATGCCACACGCAGGTTGAAGGTGACGTAAATTAGCCAAAAGCCGAAATAATAAATACAATATCGCGATCATTTTTTTTTGCAACTCGGTTACTTGGCGTATGACTCGTCTAACGAGGACGTAGCTTCCGCCACAGTCTCAGTTAGGGGTGAACAAAGTATAGACAATATAATGTCATCAGATTAATCAGTTCGTTCACTGCTGCTTTTGAGTATTTGCGATACTGATCCATTACTGTAAAGTGGCAAATTAACCAGAGTGACGCGATTGCTTACCTGAAGATACGGTTTCTGGAACGCGTCTCTGACTGCTGTTGTGTTTTAGTGTATACGAAGTGAAAAAAATGACGTTACAAAAGCCCGAATGTCACGCTGTCGGATGTTGCGATTCTAGAAGTTAAACGCAGAAGTTAAAAAAATATAGAAAAGAACGTGATTGTTGTTACCGTCACGCCGTCCCAAAACCTGGCTGCCGAATTTTGCGTGGACTGTGAAGTGGAGTGCAGCTTGCACCAAAATAGGCCCCCGCCACATCTATCACCACTGCTGGGACGCCGCAACGATCGCGGCCTGCGACATGACAATTCTATGACGTCATCAAGTAAAGTCAAAGGACAACGTTTTAGGATATGATAAACACAGCGGTCGGAGACGCGTTCCAGGTACGATATATAAAATGTGAAACGTTCACTACATATAAGAAATTGGCTGACCGCACGCCGGTGAAGCTGGCCATAAAAAAAAGATGAACACAAGGGAGCAATAGCTCGACCGGCGATAAGGCGACACGGGGCGCTACGATAGCGTGAGCACGCTGGGGCCGCGACTACCGAATCAGTCCACTCTTGGATGCAGGGGGTAGTGACACACCAAAGCCGTTCCCAAAGCGCGCTTTCCAGACGACACAGCGTATATAGCTGCGCACATGTGTTCTCTTTTCGCTCGCTCCATGAGAGCAAGGCTATCTTTTTTTTTTTTATCTACGTTTTATCGTCATTTACGATTTATTGACGCTGAACTGTCAAGGCTGGCGAATGAGAGCAACACTACCTAAGGCGCCAAGGATATGAGATGGAGGAAATACTCCCTCTTCCCCGCGCAAATTTAAGAGAGCTAATAAAATATATATCACAGCGGAGGCCTTGTTGATTACTACGGAAATAAAAAGCGTCGTCTCACGCATGACCCGTCACCTTCAAAAGCAGCCCGACCGTAAGATATAAAATATTTAAAAAAAAATGCTACAAACGATAAGTCTCTCCAGGCACACCTGCGATTGAAAAGTGGGAACGTCCCGGCCACTCTCGGCTCTCCGTGTTATCGCGAAATACAGCGCCGCGTCTGGTGGGTTCCCCGCGCCGGCCATGCATCTCTTGTGTTCATCTTTTTTAAGGCCGACTGTACTGTGTTCATTTATGCGGAAACCGCGAGGTGGCAAATTTTATTTCAGCATGCTGACTTCTGCGCATTTTGCTCCACAATTTCGAGTTGTGGTATTTTCTCAAAATAAAATTGCTCCTAGAAAACTATAAGTTCCTTTTTAATATTTTTATGAGTCTCACAAAAGGTATATGCTGACTCCACTACATAGGGATTTTATGAAGTCTATTTCAGTGGTAGTACTTAGCTTATAACGGTATACTAAATATTCACATTGCTTTCAAGTTGATGTGGTTGATGATTAAGTCATTAGTGCTGCCGCAGGATATTAATCCCACCGAAAAAAAAACGCTGGAACCTAGACGTGGATTGAACCCTTGTTCCTAAATAGGTGACGTTAACCCGAGGATTCAGTGACGATGGCAATGACATCAATGTTAGAAGGTGCAAAAGGTTGCGTTGAACTGGTTGAGGAACTGCAAATTTACCTTATTAAACAAGGCGGAAACATCCAAATTCAAAATATTTCCCTAACTATCTTCTGATATTCATATATAGTTAATGTGGAAAATGCTGTGCGGCTAAACGCGCGATTTGACTTTTCTTTCTTTTTTTTTTTTTTTTTTTTTACAGGCAGTATTTTTTGGGTCTTGCGACGGAGGCTATCCCTTTTCCAAATCATTCTTTTAGGTAGTATTATAGCTTGGACTGGCCTAATTGCCGCGGCGTTTTCTCCAAACATGGCATGGTTAACCGTCTCCTATGGCGGTTTTTACGGTAAGTGGATCCATTCAAATGACCATTAAAGGTTGTTGCGGGCCGTAGAGCTCGGCGCAACAACAATTGTTTGTTCATATGGTGCACACAGGAACGAACGTTGACAACAATATAATCTAATTGCTATGAATCCGGTTACTCTTAAATTCACGTGCCACAGAATTGTGTTTAAAAACTGAGAACGATAATGTATTTTGAAGCGTGTTCAGCTGTCAAACCGCCTCGATTCAGTACGAGACGTCGACAGTTTTGTCTGCTCTGCTTTCCTACTCCTTGTCACGAGTGCTCACTTTTGATCTATTCACGATGTATTTTTTATTCACGATGTTGCTAAGAAAATGTGAATTTAAAAATCTACATCTCCTTAAACAAGGAACAACGACCTAGAAATCAACAAATGGGAAATAATTACCAAAGCCCCTAAGACTTGGATTACTTAATGGGAAATTGCCCGTGTTCTCCTGATGCCAGAAAGTTGGTTTACACTTCTAAATCTCCTGACGTCATCAGCGTTGTTATGATAATTTTACTGGATAATTGAATATTAATTGAGTTACGGTGGCACATGAGCTGCTTTAGACACGGCCTTTCTTCACTTTTCGACGTATTGCTCTCAAGAGATAATGTTTGAATCGATAACAAAACACAATAAATCTGGTATTCAAAGTCAAAATATTAGGCAGTTTTTTGGGAATGGATAACGCTGCATTGAGGTCCATGTTGAACGTTGTTCATTTCCCTTGATTTATTTGGCAAGAGCAATGAAGTTATACTGTAACGCAATGAAACCGTGTATTCGTGCCAAGTCGTGGCGTATCCCCAGCCTTAAAAGTTGCATTGTACTTTTTGATAAATAATCCCGAACTGATGTACGTTTGAAGGGTGACGCTAAAAGAAACAGTGCATGATATAGCATGTTTCTTAGGAATATATTTCTGAAGGCTCACGTGGGTGAACTACGTGCTCTTCGCTTGCTATGGTAAGAACATTGACAGCGGGTTTCTAATGTGAAGTGTTTTGGGCTTGATAGTACCAAATTTGCTTGGAAAACCTGCATTTATTTAACCATCCTAAAACAAAATCTGTTTTCCTTCCGTTATGTTTCAGGTGCTGGGTTGGGAATAAACACACTGTCTACGAGTATGTTGATTACCATATACTTTGATAAGTACAGGGGTATAGCCAGTGGAATAAGATCTGTCGGTCTTTCGCTTTCAAGCCTAATATTCCCGCCGATTCTTCCTTACGCGCAGAAAGAGTATGGCCTCCGGGGTACTCTGTTTCTATGCGGTGCTATGACGATGAACACTACAGCTTTTACTTTTGCTTTAAAGGAGCCTCGTCAAAAAAGATGTCTTGTGCTTGCGCCTATCAGCGATAGCCTTCAAAGAGCTTCATCACAAAGAAAGGAAAATCAGCGAGCGTCTTTTGGGTTGCTGCGTAAACCAACCTTTTACGCGATAATTATGGCTTTCGTATTTTTCGATTACCTCTGCGTTTCGTTTCAAACATCGCTCGTCGATTATGCATTAGACAAGGGGATTTCTCTTTCAAAGGCAGAAACTATTATTGTTTACATGACCATCCCGCAGTTGCTAGGACGTTTGGCAATTCCGCTAATCGCTGACAAGGGTTACATGAACCGCGGCACTCTGGTTATGATCAACTTTTTTTTTCTGGGTTGTTCATTGATGGTTTTGCCTCACTGCTCAACATTTATCTCGCTACTGATTTCGTGTTTATGCGTGGAAACGTTCCTATCTCTTGTTCTACTGATGAAAGAGGTGCTTATGGCAGACTACTTTGGCATTGAAAATATTCCTACATGCACAGCCATCGGAGGTCTCGCAAGCCTGCCTCTGCTCTTATGCGGTCCGGCGATAATAGGTAAGCCATGATCAAAATAATTTGTTGGCCTAGCTGGTTAAACATCGCAAATGTAGAAAGCGCGAAAAACACGGACGAGTGGAAGACTACGCAGGACAAGCGCGTACTCTCAACTGATGTTTTAATTCGGAAGAGCACTGAAACAAACACATCAAAAACCATAACGTTGAAATCGACGAATATTTCTGAGAAAGGAGCGAAAGGATCTGAACAGACTGAGAAGTAAAGAAGTGTAAAAAAATGATAAAAATAAAAGGAAAAGGTATACATGCGTGAAGAGTAAGAAATTTATTTTCTTCTTTTACCTTTCTTTAATTTCCAGTCTTTTTTTTTTTTTTTTTACATCCGCTCGCTCCTTTCTCGCATACTTGTTGCTTTTAACGTTAGGGTTTTTGATTCTTTCGTCTTCGTGCTCTTCTGAATTAAAACGTCAGTTGAGAGTACGCTCCTGCCCTATGTAGCCTTCCACTTGTTTTTGTATTTCGCGCTTTCTATTTTCGTAAAGCCATGAGTCTCGTGAGTCCAATCAACTCATTTATATAGTTGCTTTACTTCAATATTTTATGCTGAATAATCAGCTCAAAGTTTTCAAAAAACTTTACTCAAAAAGATAATGGAAGGACTTAAAATATTCAGTGATTGAATCTTAAAGGACTGTTATTAAATTGATAGCATCTTAAGATTCATTCGTTGTTGTTGTTTTTTTGTTTTTTTTTTGCGCATTTAGCACGAACGCGATGATGGGTGGGGGCAATTTTGTGTGTTTCTGGCAGAGGATAAAGTGATAGCAAACACTTAAAGGAACACTGACACCCAAAAAAATCTTCTTTTTTTTGTTTTGCTATATAATAAGGTGTCAGAATACTACCTAATCAATATTTGTACTACAAAGTCACATATACATTTAATAAAACTAAAAAGCTCAACTGCTCAAAACCGAAACACCAGCGCGGAAGCTCATGGCCAGATACCACGTGGCTAGACCTGACCGCCTTTTTTTTTTTCTCTCCGCTTTTCCGGCGTGCGAGGCAGACGACAAAGTACACCGTTTGTCGTGTGATTGTTTCGCACTTATATCTATTCCGCTCGATGTTCTGCGATTGAAAATTGATTGGCCGGTTCCACGAACGACATTTCCGAAGTAGAGGCGCCACGTCCGCTACTTCGGAAATTCTTGTAATCTGTGCAAACCTTTTTTTTTTTTTTTTTATCCACGTAATAAAGTTTTTTTTTCTTTTCTTAAGGCTACAAAATTGGGGTTTGAATTCTTTTGTATTTTCATTACTAAATGTGTGCCTTAGATGACCCACGACTTTGAACACATTGGCACACTTAACTTGAACGCCACATGATTATGGAAAAAAGAGTGAGCGCGTCTGAAGCCGGACAATTCTCGACCGACTGTGTTCGAGTGGAAAGAAAAGGAATTTCGAGCTGCGAATCGTGCTCTGGGTAGTTGGGCTGTTAAAGGTCATGTTCAAATACAAACTCGGGGGGCGTCAATACCCTATCAGTGTTCCTTTAAAGGAAGGAATAGATCCACCTCCGGCAATTACAATGTGAAAGTTGGGAAGGGTTAAAAAGCGGAAAACTGTAAATACACATTTTCCTCACTTCACATATTACTTTAAACATTGCATAGGGTTATTTCGGAATTTATCAAATCCTAAAGACAAACTGTAGTACTCTAGTTTCACAATTGGCTGTTTCTGAACATTGTCTACCGACTTCAGAAATGCTTAAACGATATTTGTTATACTTTCTACACTCGCGTTTGTATTTTTGGGTATTTTAGCTTACTCGAATGTCGTGATAGTATTCTGCCGGCGTATTTGAGACGATATACGCCATATTATGCGCAGAAATGGCCCTAAAAAAATTACTGCCACCGCAAGCACTAAAGCAAAGTACTGTTTTGAGTCTATGGTGTCTTTAACGCCACGTCATACATTCATAACCAATACTTTCAGTGAGGCTCTCCCAAACAATATCTGGCCTGAATTTTCCTGAAACATCCGACCTAGATTATATTTGGTTAACAATGAACCTATCCCGAAGACAAAAAAAAAAACGATAAAGGAATAAAGCACTGAAAAAAGTGAAAGCCGTTTACAACTCCCTGTAACGCCGAATTAGAGCGCAGCTCTTGAGAAGGAGGAGGGAAGGGTACTGGGGGGTCAAGTGACCTTGAATGGGGGTCACGTGACCTAGGGGGTCACGTGACCCCCATTCAAGGTCACGTGACCTAGGGGGTCACGTGACGATGACGATGCCGATGACGTCATCAGTAACGATGACGATGCGGATACCGATGACGTCATCAGTGACGTCACTGATGACGTCATCAGTGATGATGACGATGACGATGCGGATGCCGGTGACGTCATCAGTGACGTCACTGATGACGTCATCAGTGATGATGACAAGATCGATGCGGATGCCGGTGACGTCATCAGTGATGATGACGATGACGATGCGGATTCCGGTGACGTCATCAGTGACGTCACTGATGACGTCATCAGTGATAATGACGATGACGATGCGGATGCCGGTGACGTCATCAGTGACGTCACTGATGACGTCATCAGTGATGATGACGCTGACGATGCGGATGCCGGTGACGTCATCAGTGACGTCACTGATGACGTCATCGGGGGTCACGTGACCCCGGGGGTCACGTGACTTGGGGAGCCACGTGTCTTTGGGTGTCACGGCTTTGGGGGTCACGTGACCCTGGGGCCGGGGTCACGTGACCTTGGGGAGTCACGTGACCTTGGGTGTCACGTGACCTTGGGGTCACGTGACCCTTGGGGAGATGTCACGTGACCTTGGGGTGACCTTGGGGTCACGTGACCTTGGGATGACCTTAAGGGGGCAAGTGACCTTGGGATGACCTTGGTTACGCCGACGGCGACGGCGACGCCGCTCAAGCGGGGAACGGGCCCCTAAGAGCTGCGCTCTAAAAAGTGAAAGCCGTTTACAACTCCATGTAACACCGAATTAGAGCGCAGCTCTTGCGGAGGAGGAGGAGGGAAGTGACCTGGGGGGGGGGGTCACGTGACCTTGGGGGATCACGTGACGATGCCGATGATGTCATCAGTGACGATGACGATGCGGACTCCGATGACGTCATCAGCGATGATGACGATGACGATTCGGATGTCGGTGACGTCATCAGTGACGTCACTGATGACGTCATCCGTGATTATGACGATGACGATGCGGATGCCGGTGACGTCATCAGTGATGATGACGATGACGATGTGGATGCCGGTGAGGTCATCAGTGACGTCACTGATGACGTCATCGGTGATGATGACTATGACGATGCGGATGCCGATGACGTCATCAGTGACGATGACGTCATCGGGGAGGTCACGTGACCTCGGCGGGGGGTCACGTGACCCTGGAGGAGGGGTCACGTGACCTTGGGGTGACCTTGGGGGTCACGTGACCTTGGGGTGACCTTGGTTACGCTGACGGCGACGCCGACGCCGACGCCGCTCAAGCCGGGAACGGGCCCCTAAGAGCTGCGCTCTAAAAGTAAAACGCCACATTCTGAATTTTATGTTCCTATAAGTGTTCGTATGTTCATGACACCTTAAGCTTCAGCAGGGCTTCAGGTGTTGTGGAGGTCTAAAATGCTCAAGAAATAAAATTAGAGATGGGGTAAAAATTGGGCTTTGTTATCTCCCTACATCTTTTTTCTTGGGGATATCTAAGCATGGTCCTGAATTACGAGATCTCTTGTGAGAACGTTGCTCGTGTATATTTTGTCTTCTATTGACACATCGTTGAACATTTTCTCGGTGAAAATTTACGCTAGAGTAATACCTTCGCGCCATGTGGACGGAGTACAACTGCGCTTTAGTACGAATGTGTCAATTTTGAAATCCATTTGCTTACCTACTTGTTTATAGGGTATTAAACTTCACGGGATCAGTGTATGGGAACAAATTACTGTATATGCGAGGTATTGTTTCTTTAGATTTCCTGCCTATAATATTAAAACACGTATATCGATTATAACTTGAGGAGCGAGGCATATTTATGGTTAAAAGCAGATGCATAATAATTTTCGCAGATTCGTAACTTAAAAAAAAAGAAAAAACTAACAAAAACAATAGCGAATGTATTGGCGGCCCTTCTCGGCTTAACGAAATCTCATAATTCCTTCCTTGTTCTCTTTGAAGGTGTCTTCAGAGACTCCATGGGAACGTACGACAACTACTACAGGCTGCTCGCGGCGCTACAATATTTTGCTAGCTGTCTCTTTCTCGGTATATTTTGCTGGGATCAAACTCGGAAAAGTACATGGACACCCTAACTTCTGCCAACGTGTGACGCGTGTGTTCAGTCGCCGGAAACACTCGCTTCAAAATCAAGTCTTTGTTGCGACCGAACGCATGCGTGAAGGAACCAAAGCTCTGCGTCTGCTTCGTACCTAGCGCTCGCCGCCCATATCAGGAAACGGCTCCACAGGGGACCTTTTTCAAAAGTCCGCGCCAAAGGCTCTCCGCCATTGCTTGCTCACGCACTCTCAGCATGTATTGGACATGAGCGCTGCGTCAGAGTTCGGCGACGACTCGGATCCAATCACAGGCTTCGTGTTCAAACAATGGCGACTGCCAATGTTGCCTGACGGACTTTTGAAAAGGGTCAAGTATACGGCTCTTTATCGCGCCAATTTGTCGCCTGCGTCGACGTCTGTTGTTAAAAGTGTCAAGATGTTTTACGATG